CGTTATTTAAAGGTAATTTTTATTATAGGCCTATAGACCTTACACAGCATTATTAATATGATTTTGGAGGTTACAGAACTTTAAAATTACTTTAAAAAATGGAAAATAATTATATCATTTGATTTCAAGATATTTTGTATACCTTAAAAATAATTAATTCTATCCCAGGATCCCGGGAAACAGTTCACTTTTATCCCGGGTTCCCGGGACAAGCAAAAGACTGGGAAATGAGAAACCCTAGTTTCTATCCCTTTTGATATAAGAGAAGGTTAAAAATAATCATTTATCACAGTTTTGACTTCTGAATATTGATGCAGAAAGGAGTACAGTCGACCCCCCTATAACACTGTCGATAATTCCGTTTTATAAGAATTCCATGTTTACGAGTCACTTAGATTTTACAAATACATGAGTTGTTCACAGCCCAGCACACATATTTGTAAAATCTAAGTGACTCGTACAACATGGAATTCACATAAAACGAAATTATCAACAGTGTAACAGGGGAGTCGACTGTAATGCAATTAACACGGATCTTATTACAGTCAGTTTGGGAGAGATCTGTCAGAAATCTGATATACAAAGTGCTGTATTTTTTCAAAAGTAATATTTTATACATAAAAATTATTTATAAATACACTTTTATCAGAAATATAAGAATTTCATTCCCAGAGTCTCAGGTTACATAGTTTCAACTAGTGGTGAACCTTAGAAATTTTTCTACCCAAGATTATACAGATAACACAGCTTCTCAATCTATATTCCACAAATCCCATGGAGTCTGCAAATGTGTTAGTAGGAATCCTTGAGTTTCCACAGGAAAAAGTAATACTTTTCTTATATTGTTAAATAAAATAAAAACAATAAAATGCTTCTTGTAATATTTACCTTCATTAAAAATGCCTACTAAAGTTTAAATTAAAAAATATAAAATTTTTAAATTAAAAACTTTTAAACAAAAACACTTAGAATATATAAAAATAATAATCATTTAATTTATTCAAGGCTGTTTGTCAGAAATTTTTTCAAAAATGTGTGTTAAGTTCTTTCTTATAATTTAAACAAACAGTCTGTTGATTTTAAGCATATTAAAACCATTACATTATATAAAAATGACTGAAATGTGTAAGCATGATTTACCCACAGTTACCTTTGAGAAAACAAGCAAAAACAAGAATTTTCATAAAATAGAAATACCTTTCAGAAATTAAATAATTATTTCAAATAACCAATTGGTGGATCAAACTATAAAAGGCTTATCAAATTGTAATGAAGCCAAGAAAATCAAAATCATGTCAAAAAAAAAATTAATTTTATTTGTGGGATGCATTTTGGTCTCTACTAGACCCTCTTCAGCCACAATTACATAAATACAGATATCTGCTATATTTAACTTTTTTACATGGGTATACTGCTAACTGTTCATACAACCATCCGGTTACAATTCCTTCTATAAATCTATAGACAGTTTCTCATGTGATCTACTAATTCATTATTTGAGATAATTATTTTATTTTATTTATTAAAGCAAAAAGCTTACAACTATATTTCAGAAGACTACAATAATTCTTAAACATGCAATTTTAACAATCAATTTAAATAATTTTTCAATTTATGTTAAGTATAAAAAAACTTATTGGCATAAAGTAAAATAAAATTTGTAATAAAAAGTTCTATGTACTGCATAAAAAGAATTTCTTTAAAATCTCAATTGAAAGTTACTTATATAATAGAAATGTAAATAAATATACAAATGCTATTCACTGATTCTTTTTGTTGTTATAGTTAAAGATCAACGTTGAATGTGGTTTTCTGAAGCCTTGCACAAACATATCTAGTAAATTAATTTAAGTTTTTACACAGGTAATAAGATCATTTATTGTCCTTAAGATTATTTTTTGCATTATAAGATCATATTTTAATATCACTTAAAATAAGACCATATAAATGGTGATTTATTTAGATAATAATTATTATTAATTTTACACTTGTTTGGGTAATAAGCAGCTGTGTTATTGGTGCGTGTGTGTGTCAACATCTAGAAACTTCCTAACAATGTGTTCAATATCGCAGCTTTCTGCAGTGCTGTGTATAACCTCTGAATAGTAGAAACCATCAGAACTGAGAAGTTTATCCACTATTCAGAAGTACAATGGCCATATTGTATTTTAACCTGGTCATTAAAGAGTGAAGAATATGATAGATTACAGAATCATTAAATTTGCATTAAGAATATAAAAATACCAAAAAATATACATAGAATACATAATTAAAATATATACAGTATATTATTTACACTTTAAAATGGTCGACAAACCGTCTTTGTAACACAATCTTTGAACTTTCATCAAATAATTGCTGTTGTCTTAACTTTAAAACTAATTTTTTTTTTCATTACTACTGTACTATAGTTCTTGTCAAATGAATGAATAACTTCAGAAAAGTTTATGGTTTCTTGATATTGTAAGCTTAATTCCAACAATAAGACAGAAGTTATATGTTGTATTGTTTCTGGCAGAATGCGGTATTTTTCTGCAAGAGTCATTCATTAGTGATGTATCTTTCAGGATGTGTTTTTTATAGTTTTTAGTGTTTATGACCTGATCTTGAATGGCCCTTAGTCTCTTCACACAGACAGCCCCTAGACAGCCAGTAGTTTGATGGAGTTTTGTCACAAGACCTGAACTAAGTCATAGACATGCCTGCCATGAAGTGCTTTTTGGGCCCATGACTGCTTATTTAGTGTTTATGTTATTTAAGTATTGAGCTATGTCAAGAACCCTTTATCTAACATATTTAACAAAATAGGAAGAACCAAAGAGAACTCAAGGAATCTCCTTGAAAAATTCCTCACTTGATGTGTATTTGATTTGTTTTTATGTGAGTATTATGGAAGTTAAGATGTAATGTTGTTCTCCAGTGAAGCATGATAGAGCCAAGGAAACTAATGAGTTGGGGATGGATTTTGTACATGCAAAGTGTGTGCAACAGCCAAATGTGTGAGATACAGTCAAATGCTTTTCTGTAATAAATGTATGCCATGTGTATGTTTCTGTGTTCTTTATGAACTTACCTTAGGATAACAGTCAATAAGTAGTTGTTCTTTGCAACCTTTATGATTTCTACAGAAGCCTTTTTGTTATTCTGCAAGAATGTTGTGTTCATCAATATGATTGTATATTTTATTTGCAATGAAAGAGGTAAGAATTTTGTAAAGTGTTGGAAGACATGTGATTGGTCTGTACTGTGCAGGGTCTTTGGTGTTATTGTATTTTGGTTTGGATTGTTGATGGTATGAGTTAGATGTTTAGCTAGTTCCTGGTGCAGGGATGTGAAATTTTTGTACCAGAAATTGTGAATGTCTACACCAGGTGTTGTCCAGTTGTGTGCTTTCTGCATTGAAAAACAGATGCCTTGCATATTTATTTCAACACAATTCACACTAAGGGTGTCTTGCATGTCTTCACTCTCCTCTTTGATCCAGTCTGCTTCAGCATTGTGCATGACTGCAGTAGACCAAAGAAAAGAACAATTACAAATTTTTACTTCTTTTACTGACAGTTGAAGATTATTTTTAAAATTACAAATAAATTTTTACAGTTTTATTTTAAAATAGTTTTAAAACTTTTATTTTTGAATGTAATATTAATTGTTTATGTGAAAAATTATAGGAGAGATTATTAAGGATTAGAAGTATTATATAAAGGATAGTTCTATAAAATGTCAGATAGACCTGTAAAGGAAATTGAACTGAGCCCTTAGTAAAATATATCAATCAAGATTAAAATAGAGTAATGCTCCATCTTGTTGGAAAATGTATTTAGGAGAATCATTATGTAATTGAGAAAACAGACAGTTTTCTAAGAAATTGTGGTGATGGATAAAGTCAAGATCCATGAAAAAACAGCAATCCATGAGATGGAATACTCAAAACTTGGAGAGATATTCTTGATTTAAAAGTATTGGAAATAGACAACTTTAAAATCACTACACTCTTTTAGAGACACCTGGTATTTATATATAGTCCTCCTTAACTTCCTTTGCTTTATAACTAACCCTGTTAATCCAAACTTTTTACTAATCTAGATAACCCTGTACACTAATTAGTTTCTGATTAGTGAAAGTATACTGTAATATAATTTCTAAAATGAAGAAGTTTTAAACAATACTATTGTAATAGAACTTTTTCTAGTAGGGATTTGATATTAAAAAAAAAACATGAAATTAAGGAAAATTTATATAACATTTTGATATAATAAAGCTTAAAAAATTGAAATTAAAGAATGTAAAGAAAATAAACAATTTCTAAGATCATCACTGTATTTTTTAAAATCTGGAAAGAAAAAGTGTTGCAATATATAAAAAAATTATTATTTTAACACTGACACATTAATATACTTACAGACACACATTCTTCTAAATCCATTTTTTCAAGTAAATGGCAATTCTGTGAAAATATTATACCAAATTAGATAAATGTGAATAATACATTTTTATTCATATATTTTTAAATCCATAATAATTTTAAATTTCAAAAGTTATCTAGGACAGTTAAATCTTGACAATAACAAAATTAATATTGATATTATTTTTGTTACTTTCCACTTCATTCAATTGCATAATTTTAAAATATTCAAATATACAACATTTGATACAACGAATGTCGTAAGTAGAATTCAGTTGCACTGTAAACCTCACAATAAGAAACTGGATCACAGCTCAATCAGTTTTAAACAGATTCGTTATTGTAGTAATCCTTGTTTCCTTTCTGATGAACTCAAAATCCATGTACAGTACCAGACTAACATACTGTTTGAAAATGTAAATCATACAAATGGACTGTCCCAGACAAAGATACAGATTAGATATGTAATCTATGCAAACAGTGTTACATAGATTAAATGTATTTTTAACCATATATACAGTCAAACCCCATTAACAAAAAAATGAAAAGACTTAAAAATTAGTACTTTGTATTAACAAGATTTGTATTAAGTAAACTTTAAAAAAGTCAATGGTTATATCATCGGATAGAAAAAAAACATCTCTGTTATTCCAGTATTTTATCTGCCCAAATATGTTAAAAATTAACACTGACACATTAATATACATACCAACATACACTTTATTGAGATTGTTATCTTTCTTGAAACCACCCTCTGTACATATGTGAATGGGGATGTACAGTACATTTTTATAGTAGCTTAATTAAACAAAGAATCAATGCTTGTTTTTCAACATTGTTCAGGGTTCGTAGAATGCCAAATTACTGGATATAACATGCTCTCCTAGCTGCCAAACTGAATCCAGGACTTGGATATGCATAAAAGTTACACATTTAAAAATAATTTATTTGTCTGAATTCAATGGAAACAGCTATTTTTTAAATTAAAAATTACAAAATTTAGTATTGCCAGATGGCTGAGATGGTTAAGGCATTGGCTACTGCATTAGATGATCTAGACAAGTTGAAAACACCCAGCAATTTATCTGGTACAGACCTCTTCTGAAATGTTCAGACCATCCCTCATCACCAAGCCATCTCTACCATGAGCCTGGCAAAACCTACAATAGACCTGATAAAAAGTCCCTCTTAGTGCCCACAGGATGGGGGAAAAGCATTTAATATCAATATTTGTTACATTATTGTCATTATTAAAACAATTAAAAATAAGAAATATTTCATAAATTATGGATTTTTAATTGAAAATCGCTCAATCCTGTTAACTTCAATTTCTAATGGACACATCAACTGTCTTAACTAATAGTTCAACATTGTAACAAGGTGTACAAAGCACCAACTATAAGACAAGGTGTAATTTTTGAGTTGGAGTAAACAACATTGGTGTGGCAAATATCTGCATTGCCATCAAGGATGATAACATTGATGTCAATGTTTAAAGTTAAAAAATGTGCCATCAGTTATGATGTGACTCATAATTTCTCTCTTTGGCTAAGGTGATTTCTAGAAAGTAAGAAGCAATATGTTCACATTAAATGATATAATTATTATTGAATTCAGGAGACCATGATACATTTCCTACTACATATTAATTGATATTCTCTATTAACCAAACTTATTTAATATTGAAATGCTTATCCTCATTCGCAGGATTGCAAATCTACTTTGCATTAATATAGACTTAGCATACTGCTATATATGTAATTTTTGTTTCAGTATAACTTAAAAATTTAAAAGTTATGCTATAACAAAAATTATATAAATAGAATATATATATAAAGTTTCAAAGAAAACTAAAATACATAACTAAACTTTAAATAACTCAACTAAAAAAAAAAAATGCAATCTAATAACACATATTTTAAGAAATACCATGTAATCTACCTCAAAATAAAAATTTCAGTTATTTTCACTAAAGAAATTTTTACATTAATAGTTACAAATTAAACAAATCAAATTAATGTACTAAGTGAGATTATATTATGATCTCTTAAAAGAGTGCTTTGTTCTAGCAATCAAAATATATACATCACTGGAAAATAAATTAAAAATTTAGTATTTAGTTATGTACTGTACTCATTGGCATGCCATTTGATGATACACTTATTTATTTATTTACATATTAATCAACATTGTTTTTAAACATCTAAAAATTATTACAATCATATCCTCTTAAAATTAAAAATTGTCCATTTAATCCTCTTATAATTAGCATTTTACGAGGATTAAACAGACAAATTTTAATTTCGCATTATATATAAATTATATATAAATTTCTGCATTAAACATACTTGAAGATGTCTGTTATAAACAGATGAAAACATTAGTAAAAAAATATGTTATTTTGAAGTATGCTGTTTTGTAGATCTTTTGTAAAATGATCTTTTAAAGATATCTAAAGAGCTATGAATTTTATATTCTTATATTGTTTTATCCCAACTCACACAAAACAACAAAACTTTCTTTTTACTTGAAACTTTTTGTGAATTCTGAAATTTTTTTTTGTAACTTATTACCAATAATACTTATATTAAGTACTATAATGTTCCCATGATTTTATGATAAAATATCTTGTATAATATGACAAGCTATATAAATGGTTTCTATAACTAAAAATTTTTGAAGTTGTAATATCACTAAAAATAGAATAATCTGTAAATATGAATAAGGTAGTAAAAATGCAATCTTTCTGATAAATTATTGTAGTAATTAAATATTTATTTTTTCCTAAATGAAATACCTGATATTTAAATTACAAGAATATTTTCAACATTTCAATATTTAAATATTAAAACTAACTGAAATATAATTATTTTCAGCTGATTTCATTAAAATTATTCATTATACTAATTTGATAAATACTTTCTGTTAAAAATATAAAAACAAAATACAATGATAATCCTTGACAAATTATATTATTAAAAATATATTATTATAAAACTATCAGTTTTTGTTTAGCATTAAAATTAATTAGAGAAAAAGTTATTTCAAAAGTTCATTGTAATAAATAATAATCATTACAGCAGTCTGTCATAATGCTATTTATATTGCTTTATGACTAAAAAAGTATTGTATACTGGCACAATGAAGTGACTTTTCTTCAACACTAGGCAAGTTTCAATCTTTATTCAGTTAGAACACTTTGCTATACATCTACGTTTTGGGCATTTGCCCCTCCTCAGCCAACTAAATATATATAAAATATTATATGGATACAACCGAACACAAATAAAAAACAAAAAAACTAAAAAACGTACAAAAAATTTTTTGTGAAACATACCTCACTTCGATACAAACACCAAATATACAGTAGAACACCAGACGACCCATAGGTTTACATAACGTTTCTACCATAAATTCCGTTTTATTTTTACAATAACATAATTTGTTATCTTAATTTTTACTACTTGGACAAAATAATTGATAAACTTTACANCAAATAAAAAACTAAAAAACGTACAAAAAATTTTTGTGAAACATACCTCACTTCGATACAAACACCAAATATACAGTAGAACACCAGACGGTTCATAGGTTTACATAACGTTTCAACCATAAATTCCGTTTTATTTTTATTTGTGTTAGGTTGTATCCATATAATATTTTATATATATTTAGTTGGCTGAGGAGGGGCAAATGCCCGAAACGTAGATGTATAGCAAAGTGTTCTAACTGAATAAAGATTGAAACTTGCCTAGTGTTGAAGAAAAGTCACTTCATTGTGCCAGTATACAATACATAAATACAACACGGTTTCGACAACAACGACTAAAAAAGTTTTAAGAACTCTGCATCCATAGATGTGAAATCATATAAACACTCTTCAATAAATTTATATTTACAGAAATAATGAATACAATGTATAAATGATCAACAGTGATACAGTTTCTATGCATCAATGCCAAGCAAACTCTGAGATCCTACATTATTGGGTAATTAATGCATATAAATAGATTCCAATCTATTTATAATAAACTATATTTTTATTAATTTTTCTATTTTTTTACATCTTAATAGATTTTCTGGTTAGTTCTGCACCTAATGGTTTGTATGTAAATCTTACAATATTTGCATAATTTAGTAAAAACTTTATAAACTGAAAACCAAAACTAAGTGGAGGGTGTAAAAAAAGGAAACTGATTACTAGATTAATTAAAATTCTAGATTTTAAAATATCACTATCATAAATACTTAATTTTTACATATTTAATTTACATAACATATAAATTAGAATCAGAAGAAAATTTATAATTAAAAATTTTGTCAGCAATGTCAAATGAAGTTTTAGTAAAGATTAAATTCTTAGGTTTTGAATACTATCTTCTAAATAAAAAGGAAATTTTGTTTGTATGTTTGTGGCAGTGTAATATTTGTATGATGCATTTGTAAATGTATGTGTGAATTTTTAGTGTTGTCAAATTTAATCTTTTCTCATAACATTTTTGGGAAAATTTATTTTTTATTTATATATTTTCCTATAAATCTGTTCCAGTGTATTTTAAAGAAAAATTTTCAAATCCCACAAATTTCCCTCAAATGATCAAAAAAATTCTTTTTAACAAATGAATCAGTGATGTCACTGCCTACATATCAATCTACCACTGAAAATATTGCAACACACTTAATTTCCACAATGAAAGTAAATTAATAAAACAATTTATTATAAACACATTATCTAAATAATGATGTGCAACCAACTGGCTAAAATTGGTTGTAATGTTACCATTTAATTGATGTCCCTTCATCCAAAAAATTTGATAATTGAAAATCTTGGTAATTTAGGTTCTCACCTTCTACTAAACCTGCTATTGTGGGAATATTTTGAATATATATATAAAACATTGTATTAATATTATTTCCTATCTACTTTCAATTATCATCTCTTAAAATGTATCACTAAATTGTTTCATTACAGATCACTATTAAGAATCACTTTTATCATCATTTGAGAGAAATGTTTTAAACCTTCATAAATACAATAGAGCAAATTTATACAAAGACAGGTAAATAAGATCAAATTTATCGTTTATCGTATTAAGAGAAGATCAAAAGAAAAATGATGAAATTCATTGGCACCACAACAAAACCAAATATCCAATGTTTTCATAAGATAAACCCAATCATTGTTAGATATATCAGTTTTAAATATTCTGTGTAAAGACAAGATAAATTTATTATAAAAATGTATGATAATACCACCTCTTAGAGTCTTATGTATTTATATTTTAATTTACTCACCCAAATTCATTCTTATTACCTTGGCTAATGCCTGGAAGCCACTATCTGTAAATTGAGAACAGCCTGCAACTTCTAATGTCCTATAGGAATAAAATTTTAATAAAAATTAAAAAAAAAAATACTACTTATAGTCCATACACAAAATAATACATATTTTAAATATTGCATTTTAAATTGTATAATTATTTTAAAATATCTATTAATAACGGTGTTGCTTGCATACAGCTTAATTTTTTCCAAAAATTCAGTTATAACTTAATACAGTCATACCCCGATTTACGCTACCCCGACTTACGCGAACCCAGAGTTACGCGATTTTCAAATCTCGTTGATTCGTCTTTTGTTTGAGCGCCATGCAACTCTTGATTATTCACTCCCCCACACTATCGTTCAGCTTAATTTAATGTTCGGACATGTCGCGCAGAATCGACGCATAACTACAATTTATTTTGTGTAATTTATTTCTGTTTGTTATATCTACGGAGACTCGAGAGACTATATGGTGATTTCTTGTAACCGTGAACGAACCAAAAGGCGAGATAAGATTAACGAGAACATTTATTAGCTTACATAAATCTGACTTGTATTTTACACAAAAGGCATCTGCAATCGTAAACAATTGACGAAAAAAGTATACATTTATCAGATAATAAACAAAGACTCATTTTGTAAACAATTTACCTTTTGTATATACAACTGACAAGATTACCTTTCAAATTATAAACAGACTCGATCCCAAGCGGTCTTTTGATCGTCGGACATACAAAAGAAATGAACAGATGGCGCCTAACTTAAGCGCGGTTTACAATAACGAATATGATTAATCTTAACACTCTACTATGTCATCCAAACGAAGTAGAACTGATTCTTCTGCATCAAACAAGAAAAGAAAAACTTTATCTTTGGAATGTAAAGTTAACATTATTAAAGACTTCGATACAAAAATGAAAATTTGTGAATTGGCAAAGAAGTTTGATCTACCGGAATCGACGGTCAGAACAATTATAAAAGATAAAGAAAAAATTCTCGAAGCTGTAAAAAATGCTCAATCTTTAAATTCAAGCATCATTCGTAAACGTCACGGTATTATCGCTGAGATGGAAACAATGTTAAAATTATGGTTTGATAATCAAGTTAATGTGAAAAATTGTATAATAATATAATTTGTTATACATATGTATTATCTAAGATTTTATTAAACATTTTTTTCTAAATTATTGTTTTCTTTAGTCTCCAGTCCCAATTAAAAATAATTTGTATGTGTTTATATGCAAAATTATACCCCGACTTACGCGAATTCGACTTACGCGGTTATCGCTCGGTCCCACCTATCGCGTAAGTCCGGGGTATGACTGTAATTTATTAACAGTTCCAATACCACAAGTAAAAATATACAAAAAGTAAAGTACCAAAACCAAATATCAAAAAAAAATTCTAATTTACTGTTTTTTTACTTGTGATAATATACAAATATTTAAAATTAGTTTATAATTGATTTTATTTCTTAACAGCCCAGAAATCATCCTGGATGAAGTATCATGCAGACCTAGCATGAAAAGAATATGATCAGACTCTTGATTCTGCAATCATAGGAGCACACATCAAAGATACCATCCCTTTGTCACTTCACAAAAATGGCAGATGGCAACTGACATGAAATGTGCCAAATATACAATGCACAGATTCTGTGAAAGTGACTACAAAGGTGTAAAAGTTTGAAGCATGTTAGAATTCTTTCTGTCACAAATGTCAGTGGCAATAAACATATAACAGGCCATCATCTCTTTTAAACAAACACACATTTAACCTTTATCACAATTGTAGTGCTGCGTCACTATACTTTTTGTTTTCGGTCTTTGTATATGTTTATGCCCTTTGTGTAATATGTTTCGTTATTCCGTGCCTGAAATTGTAATTGTGTAAATGAATTTTTATTAATTTTCCGTTCTGGTTGAACCGACTTTTTTTTGGTGGCACCGCCTGCCATGTAACGATTGGCTGTATGATGATCACGTAAAGAGGATGACGTAGCATGATGGCGGGATGTATAAATTGTCATCCCATGTGTGGAGGAGGCACCTTTTTTCCTAACCGGGACTTGGGCCAGGTGTACAGAGGTATGTTGGAACGTGGAGTGAAATAGAAGGAAATAGGGACACGATTCGGTTTGGATGAAGGACAGAAAATCGCTCAGGAAGCAACTGAATCACATCGTCGTGAGTTATAAATCATGATAATTTATTCATATCATTAGACAGAGTGTTTTGGGTATATACCCGAATAAGATAATTGTTTTTGTTCTCTGAGCTAATCAGGGAACCACGTGGCCAAACTTATTGCGAGCAGATTCCTGAATTCTTAGGCGGAAATTTCATCCTCATACTAAGGAGATTCAACGAGGGACCTTCATCTGTAAAATAATTGTAATTTCTTTTTTTTTTTTTTCTTTCGATCATCTCCATGAAAGGAGCATATATTAATTGTCGCAAATGTTAGTGTAAGTTCAGATATATTGTCCATTATTAAAACTTTTTCAATTACAACTCAAGTTGTTGTTTATGTAAAGTCCTCATGCACACATTTTACCCAACTGATTGTCTGGAGTATTTTTGATACTTCCTGGACACTACACAATAATTTGTATTGCATATTGATCATGAATTGATTATAATTCTGAACATTGTTTTTACAACTATTTATTTCTGAATTCCAGCCATTTGTTTTTACTTCAGTCGAGTCAATTGTATTTTTATATTCTGTTGGATTGTTCAACTGCAGTATCTCATTTACATAGTGCCTCTACCCTACAATAAGTGGACTTGCTCAAGCAGATATTAAAGCTATCTCATTTTCAACTATACAACTAACATTTTGGATGGTGCTTCTTGATCATTGATTGATTATAATTCTGAACATTTTTTTACAGCTTAATTAGTTGTTGTTTTTTTATATTTGTTGCATTTGTCTTTGTTTTGTTGTGTTTATCTTTGATTTCTGAAATCAGAATTATTCTGATACTTACATGATATTATGCACTTTTCTAATAATTCATTTAAAATTTTACTTCAGAATGTTAGATGAATAAATAATAAACTATTAACTTTACCCAGTATTCTTAATGATGATTTTGATTTTTATATCCTTACTGAAAATTTATATCCTTACTGATATCTTCAAGTCATATGATATTACCAATTTCATTAATCAAACGAGTTTTCAGTTTTTTCCTTTACCCATCGAAACCAAAGAGACAGTGGCATATTATTTATATTTCCTATATCACTTCATACATCAGAAAACATCACACTTATAAACTGGAACTGTATAACTAAGTAATCGACATCTAAATGTCATTGCCAGCACATAACAAACAAATTTACTATTTGAACATTTTTTGCCATCATTTAGAGTCCCTCTTCAGGACTGAATGTATAAAAAACAGTTCTATCATTTGAAAATTTCTATCTTTCAAATATTGCTGTGTTCTAATCTTTTAAACATTTAAAAAGGTGTTTGATATGAAAATCGTTTCATTTACATCATAAATAAATAAATAATTATTTTTAAATAAAGCTACAAATGACATTATTATTATTACATTCTGTGGTAATCTAAAAAAATACTTCCATGATTGTGGTACTGCAATATAGTCTGAGTTGATGCACTCTCCCTTCATTTCAGATATATAAATTTAAATCGTATGTTATGTTGGGGTACTCTTAAAGCTACCCCAACATGACATACTATCTTTAGAGGCTCTAGAAATTTATATAGCTGAAACGAAGGGAGATTGCATCTGTGGCTGTCGGTCATATTGTATATATGTATTTGTAATTGTATATAGTTATAATTCTATTTTATTCTTGCAGTTTCCTTTATTCCCTTTGTCTATCCTTTCTAAAACCTTCCAAAATGACCATTATCACCTTTGGATAGGATTAGCCATTCAGAGAATCAGTAAAGATAGCAGGTGAAATGACCTGGGGAGAAACGGCTAGGAGACGAGTCATTTTTTCAACAAGACACAGAGAGAGTCAGATGTGTCGAACAGAGCTCTGAGTGTGACTTTGTAGCGAAGACAAAAAGGTATTTTGCGATAGTCGAGTAAGAGACTGAGGAGGAACCACATTCGAATAATAGGCTTGCAGACGACTCCGAATAGGTTGAAAATCATCCTAAGGTAGTGGAATCTCCACAATTAAAGATAGGATGACTGGCGTATTTTAGAACTTCCAGAAGGAAAAGAGAATTAAGAATAGTGAAAGTGAGAGCCATCATCGTTGAAGAAACATCCTACCCAAAGCGCATATCAACAGAAAGAAACGCCCGGGTGAAGTTACCCCTTCATTTCTTCTATCTTCCCACTGTCCTATCTCCCTTAGTATTAAGTTAGTCTTAAGTTGGGATTAAGTTAGGTTTTAGTTATGCAGTTATAGAAGATTAATTGTTATGCGCCTGGAGATTTTTACTATTGTGTTTTGTTGTGAAACAAAAGGGTTTTCTGTTTAATACACCTCATATTGTAAAAATTTCTTACAAATCAGTTGGGATTCCTTATAAAACCGAATTTGTTCGTAGAGAAATAAAGAGAAGTGTATATTCTAGTGGTTGTCACAAGTTCCTTTCTGTTTCATCTGCGGATCGTACTGTCTCACCCATACGAACACCACACATCAACTCAGACTATATTGCAGTATCACAATCATCAAAGTATTATTTAGATTGCCACAGAATGTAATAATAATAATGTCATTTGTATATTTATTTAAAAATAATTATTTATTTATTTATTTATAATGTAAACGAAATGATTTTCATATCAAACACCTTTTTTAATGTTTCAAAGATTGGAACATGACAATGTTTGAAAGATAGAAATTTTTGAATAATAAAACTGTTTTTTATACAGTAATACCCCGAACTTACGCGATAGGTGGGACCGAGCGGTAACCGCGTAAGTCGAATTCGCGTAAGTCGGGGTATAATTTCACATATAAATACATACAAATTATTTTTAATTGGGACTGGAGACTAAAGAAAACAATAATTTAGGAAAAAATGTTTAATAAAATCTTAGATA